TAATCTTTTCTGTTCCTCCTCTCTGTAAATGTATAATAATGATCTTTGCTTGCTTCTATACATTCTCAAAAACTACACTCGATCTTCATTCACTTGCTATTCCATGAGTATTCTATTTTCAAGGAAAAAACAAGATCGTTCAGATACCATTGTAACACTAGGATTTATTAAAAAGTTCACTCGAAAATGAAAACATTATTTTTGAAGATGAGAGATACAAACAATGTTTTACTTTTCTCTTACATATATCTTATCAACAAGTACAAGAAGATAATATCTTATCTGCATCATCCATTTTAATCCTAATGGATAGATGACATGACGAGTAATCCTAACAAGCACACGAATTGCTGACGTGACTTTGTCAACTAACACACTTATTTTCTACCTACCAATCACACCGATTGTTTACTTTACAACTATGACTAATGCACTCTAAAGTAATCGTAACTTCATTTTGAATAAACTATACTAATTTCTAACTAACTAAAGATGGTTACTATCATGAAATAGACTGCAAGTGACATCGGTTGCTCCCTTTTCAATGATGAGCAATGACAGACAATCAACGGTGTGGCTAACTTTCTGCGCGCGTCGCGTCAGATCATACAAAACCTTGCCGCAGATCACATGACGACGTTTGATCTGCTATCGCTATCTATAATTCATCTTGTGAAGCATTGTGAAACGAGTGAGGTGTAGCTATTAGCAATCAATACCAAAATTTTGATAACTGAAATGTGAGAAAGGATTGAAAACATGAAAAAATGTTGGGGTTAGAATCTGACATAGTTGCAGTTTACTTCAACTTGCAAATATCAAAACTATCAGACCATGTGCAACTAAAAACTTGACAAATCTCAGTTATCTCACTATTCAGTGCCGTTATTTATCGAGTTGCAGTCTCCCAATTTGTTTGTCAAGATTAAAGAGCCAACCAATACGTTTATCAAGACCATGTTTTAGCCAGAGTACAATAATAGTATGCTTGATGAGATTGATTAATTCCTATTAAACAACATCGTATAGTGTAAGTAATTCATTTACATCTTGTCTTGGTGATTAGACCACATGAAATTGTGGCTTGTCCACTATCAAATGACCATGAATTATCTTGTAACGCTAACAACGTTGACGTCATTTAAACGTGTCAACAATGTCACTGTCGCGAGTTTAACAACGTCCAGTTTTCCTTGTCATCATCGGTGTTCATCATGATTATGTGCCTACGATCATGGTACATGCAAAAATTTTCAAGATGCCGGCAAACCGAGTGGCATCAACTGTGGCAATCAAATCCGATGACAACAAAAATTTCTATCGATGAGATTGAACGTGTTGTTCACCAGTTTAAGTTTGAACAAAAAGAGTGGTACAAAGAAGTCTTCGATGATGATATGGTGTAAATGCTCAAACAACTAATTAAAAAAAATATTCTTTGAGGCCAATTTGAACAAAAGTTTTTTCAAATAAACATTGTGAAAATTGTGTAGGAAATTTATCTTCTATATTTTTTATTCTTATTACCAAATTAAAGAATAAAGTAAAGAAAAAGGTATGTGTAAAACATATCTATTATGATAAGGCTAGGGGTGAAGTAAAATAGAGAACATTTTATTACACGATAAACATTTACCTTACCTTGATTTGATCTAATTCCAAATATGTTTCTAACTATAAATATCAATCATTTCGTTTGCATTTTCAACTTCATAACCACAGTCTTAAATTTTCATCTCAATATGCCAAAAAATATATTAAAAATGATGATTTTTCATAAAACAAAGATAAATATTAAACATATTGAAGATCGCTCATGAGAGAATTGGATTTCTTTCAAACATCTCAATATCTACGAAATAATAAGTTTTTCTTTTAGTCTTTTTCTAAATGCATATCAATGATCTATGCTAGACATTATATACTTTAAAAAACTAAACACTATCATCACATTCTTGTTATTTCATGATGATTTATTCACTCTCAAGGAAAGATGAACTAATTATGATATCATTGTAACACTAATAATTAGTATAAGAGATCATTAACAAATGAAACACAACTCAAAAGATGTGAGATATTCAAAAAAAAAATTGATTCTGCGTATAGATGTTATCAATAAGTACAAAGAGATAAGCTATCATCATCATTTTTCATTTCACTCATAGATGAATGACTGAGATGTTTTAAAAAACGATTTAATCAATATGAAAGTTTTATGCTAAAATAAAATAAAAAGTTTGGGAAAAAACATAAAAAATGTGACGTTAAAAAAATAAAAATAATCTGTTAGTATATGATGAGAGAAAAGAAAAAAAAAGAATTAAAGTGAATTTTTTTTATGTTTGAACTTATCTTAATCTTTCAAATGATTTGAGAAGAATCTAAGATTTAAACAATTAAAAAAACTTAGAACGTGATGTTTTTTTCATGTTAAAAATTTAAACAGGTCAGTTAATTTGATTGAAATTAGCATTTACAATTTGAAACGAGATGAAATTGCAAGATAACAATAAATTATACAATTTAAGTACTCAATTTTAGAGAATTGCAAAACATTACGAGATTTTTTAGTAAAATGTTTTGACTGTTTTGATTGTCGTACATTAAAACTCAATCATCTGAAGTTGAATTTAAGTCAATAGTCTTGAATTAGTTTACTGTTGTAATTGCAAAAAAATAATCAAATGTGGTGATTCAAAAGAAAAATCAAAGGCAAAATAGATCTTTAATTGATTGCAAAATGAATGATGTGAATTTTCAATTCTACTGCACAATTTTTAAACCATGGACAGTTTCAAATACTTGCAATCACTTGATTGAAATTACCATATATGCAACATAGGTTGAACTCTCCAAGAACTCACAAATATTTCCCAAAAATCAACTATGAGTTTTGAAAGTTACATTCTTTTACTTGCAATACAAACATGAAGACATAGCTTTCATCAAAATTACATGAAAAATCACATTACAATCCAACCAACTCCATTTTATAACTCATAGCTTCCAGGTTTATGCAGTAGCTACTCTCCACCACTATAAACTTCAGTCTCCAAGATTTAAGTTTGAAAACTTAATCCTTAGAAAACCTAATTTATACTCTATATCTTGATTCCTCCTTCTCATTCTAATGGCTATTGGCCCTAACGTCACAACCGATGATAATGTAGCTAAGTATACAATCTCATAGCTGTGTATGATAGTACGCCTGAGAATTTAATTTGTAAGAAAAATATTTCATAAGCCATCTTAATCATTCTAACTGATTAGTATGTTAGAATGGTAATCGCTTCAGCTCATAACATTTCGAAGTTGATACTGAAGGCTGATTAGCTTCCTTGGTCAGAATGGATGTTTTGAAAATTTCGTGTAGCACGTTACATTTCACTCCTGACATGGCTACCTGATTTACTCACAAGTATCCAATCTGTGGAGTATGTCCCCTTCAGAGATAAATTCTTTCCACTTCCTGAAAGTGAAAGAATATGAGACAATATTGCGAAAAATTCTTTGATAGGAAGCAATATGCTACATAAGTTTTCGGTTCAAGCAATCGTTGTCTCTGGTTCTCGTTCATTGAATGTCAGTTCTTTCCTCTGATTAGTTTCGAAGTCGAAGGCCAAGATTGTAGTTGTCTAAGAATGTTTAGATAGCCTATGCAGCCGTCAGGATTCAAGCTCCCGACCAGGGCTGAATGTCAAGGAGTGTCGAACCAACCTCGCGATTGATTGAACGAGCACCATATCAGTATACTGTAGTACGGTAGTAGCAAGACCAACGGACGCTTGCTAATGTTATAGTTCGACAACGTACTTTGGGTCCATAAGAAGTCAAAACGAGCTCAGTGAATTTTCGTGTGTAGAAGCGTGCACACGCAAAGCAGCATCGAACGTAATCAAAGAAGGAAACATGCGACTTTCCCAGCGAACGAGTGCGCGTCTTTACAAAAGAATTCGCGTGTTTTTTTCCTGAACGCTCACTAAAGGAGAATAATAGATTGAGAAAGGGACATAGGGAGGAAGGTTCCTTGTCTAATTCGGGAGGAATCCAAAGAGTCAATTTTGGATGATTGACAGAAAGAAAGTGTGAACGCCACCATAACCAGATGCACATTTTTTGTCCCCACGGTCAGCCAGCGGAAGAGGAGAGAAGTGAAGAGGAGAGGAGAGGTTCATGGACTTGTTCTAACCTCAGAAAACCAAGCAGAGCAAGAAGTGGATGTTCACATTCCAGGAGCAGCAAGTGATCTTTTGCACTACCTTCAAACTACAGAATCTCGTAGTCTTCCCTATTCGGTTATCCAGCAATTAATCTCATGGGCTGGGCTGGCTTTCAGCTCCAGGTTGCCGGGCATAGCATTAAATTATTACATCCTCAGGCAAGAGCTTCCCGTCCAATCCATAAAAACCATTTATTCGACCGCACCATCCTCCGGGAATTGTAGAGTTGTAAGTAGAAGTGGTCAATCAAGAGGTTGTGCGCAACTCGAGTTTCGGTGTCAAAATGTGCACTAGACAGACAGAGAGAAAAGAGGTGAGATATAAAAACCAGAGAACCCGAAAGTGGCTTGCTCATGGACAGAGCGCGTGCTATCATGAACCGAGTGTGCGACTGTGCAGGAACTGGCTATGTCTCGACGGGACGCAGCAGTACTGTATGAGTCTAGGAAGTAGCGTGCGGATGTGCAAAAAGACAGAAAACAATAATAATACCAGAGCGAGTCGAAAATGGCCGGAAATTATAATAGGCCGAGCTCAACAATGAAAGTACACGTGACAGTAGTTGCATCATTTGCATCATCGGTGATGCTGCCAACTCATCATCATCATCGGGGCCGCCGAGTGGCTAGCCACCATGTAGATGCCGAGGGAGGGAGGGAGGCCAAAGAAAGGAAAGGAAAGCAAAGCAAAGCGACGCAAAGCAGAAAGTGGAAAGGAAAAGAGGTTTTCCAGGAGGTTAGGGAGGGAGGGAGGGAGGGAGAGGAAGAGAAAGAGAAAGAGAGAGGAGGCCAAGGAAATAGAAGCGCGATGAGCATGGGCTTGACAGCACAGCGCACTGAGGAAGAGGGAGGTTGGGGTTGCGGAGCTGCAAGTCGAGGGTGAAATGGAGACGAAGTGCGTAGAGCAACGAATGGTCAAGACGCAGAGAGAAAGGCCGGAATCAGGCACCAAAAGCGGCACCGGGTTTTCGAGGGGTGGGGTGCTGTAAGTCAAGTAACTCTTGTGCCAGATGTCTGCGCGCAATGCACGCGCCTAGCAATCGCTCGCAGTGAGAGCGAGACAGAGGCTCCGAGAGAGGAGAGGAAAGTACTAGGGATCCAACGCGAAGCAAAGCGAGCAAGCAAGGAGAAAGAGAGAGAGAGAGAGAGAGAGAGATTTGTCTCTGGCTCTCCCCTGCTTTAGTGAAGGCGAGGCAAGGCCAGGTAAGGGAGTCTCGAGCAAGGGAGGCAGGCTAGCCGTCAATCAGTCCTGCCCAGGGACTCCAGCCCCAGTCAGTCACTCCGTCCGTCAGCTCATTCATTTGCGCTCGAGGTGTGGCATTGCCCCATCTTCACCGTAGCCCACCCAAATCTCGGGCAAGGCAAGGCATGCAAGGCAGGCAAGCAGGCAGGCAGGGCCAGGCAAGGCAAGCAGACAGTCTGCCGTGAGGAGGATTTCAAAGGGGAAGTGAAGGAGGACGGGGATTGGAATAGGATCCGATTGGGAGGATTTCCTCAGCTAGCTAGCTGCACTACTTACTTACTACTTACTGGGGTCTGGTGGGTGTGTGTGTTGTGTGTGGTTACAAAGCTTCGGTGGGGATTTGGGCACATTCTGGTTTTCCGGCTGGCTGATGATGCCGTGCTATTGCTGGCGGTGGGGCGAATAGAAGTATTTGGAAAGAGGCCAGCAGCCTGACGGGATTCTGAGTTCTTTCTTAGCGAAAGCGGAGGAGATTTGAGTCGCAGGAATGGAACATCGGGCTCAGGATAAAAGTTTGTGCGGAAGGCTGGTGAAGGTTTTTGCACTAGGATTACATGCGTCATCAAAATGGTCTCGAGTCTTCTCTTGCTACTCAACGAAATCCTCTCAATAAACACGAAATGCAAGTTCTGCACTCAGATTTCTACCCTCTTGATATCAGATGTATCATCTCCATATCGTTCCAGAGCCCTATACATGTTGTACAGCAAGTGATTTAAAAGGAAGTTACTTAGAAGCTGCTATTTATGGTGTGAAGCAATTTCGCCTGCTGCTAGAGCAGATGGAGACGTGAAAGGAGAAGATCGGCGTCGAAGATGTGGTTTGTCTCAGGAGGATGCAGATGCACTCAAATGAGTGAGCTACTGTAAGAACGGCCTGTTTGTGAACCATTTTGGCCTTGTAAAAGACATACAGAGAGAATGGGCAAGAACATTCTTTGAGATGTGGACTACGATCCCCGAGGTCTTTCCCTTTTTCAAAAGGGAAAGATCTAAGTCTCACGACAGATTGGATGCATCAGCACCGCCGTCCCCGAGGCGTAATCCTGCATTGAGAAAGTCGACTCGTTCTCAACCGACGCTTCATGTCACGATGGACAAATCTGCCTATAGGCCAGGGGATCTTGTTGTGGCGACAATCGATGTGCGGAACGATGGGCCCACGGCAATCAAGGCAGGAACTAATGCTTCGAACAGGAGCTTATTGGATGCAGTTTTGATGGAAGATTTATTGGTGGAGGTGAAAGGCATTGAGAGGGTTGATCCGCAATGGCTTGTGACTCCCAAAGCACCTCCTGGTTCCAAGCAACGCAGAGGTCTTCCTCACTCTTCTGATTCTCTCTGTATTCAGTCATTCATCTTACATTGTAGTTGAGACCTATCGATCGGAAGTTCATGCCCCAACGGATCACTCCAGTTTCGGCGTAGTCTAATTATTGCAACGCAATGTGTCTTCATGGGTAGTTTGCTGATCTTCACCGCTTGATTCGGCTGTTGATGTTCTATGTTGAACAGGGATATTTAGCACCTCTCAGAAATTTTACCGGGTTCAACTCCTTATTTCAATCAATTACTATTCGAATCTGAAATTCCAGAGAGATAGCAATGAACCAGTCGTTCCTTTAAGTTCCTTCTTATGAATCCAGTTGAATTGTACGAGCTTCTTATTGTAGAACTTAGTAGAAAGATCCAAAATTTGCCAAATCTGGTAGGTCGAGAAGAATCAGCATTTGATCTAGTCATTATCTTATCCACGTCTCTTAGAATGCAAAATTTGGTGCCAGGCTCAGCAATGGGTTCAATATGCTGTACAGTAAACCGTCTTAATCAATTCAGTCAGACGTAACACGTTGATACCATTCGTAGATATAGTGATGTTAATCCTTGTGCACATTCCACAAGAAGACCTACGCAAACAGAGTATAATGTATCTTTCTTACCATATTGAAGACAGGAATGGCTTACATGCCCTCCTAACGGGAGGATGAGAACATCAGTAAATATTTTCAGTCAAGTGTGCGATCTGTGTTCTGGTTTTTAAGATTCTGAGGTTTTCCTTCATATTGAAACACATGTTGTCATTGGTTTTCATGACAGGAGAGCGCACCATATTGGAATCGTCATCCACGTCGATTATCTCCAATGTCATGATCGGCCTTGGTGATAACAAAACTTGTAAGTCTTCTAGGAAAATCTTTGCGTAGCTGGTTATCCAGGCTTGTGACCCTATCATGTAATCATCAGAAGGATGTTTGGCCATAATAGGTGGGGGGAGACAGAAGTTTTACAGGGAGTTGTCTAAGTCATTTACTATGTAAGGCTTGATATATTATTTTGGCATGAGGATTATGAGGTTTTGATGTTTGCTGTCTTTGCATCGTATTTTCGAGCTTGTAGTTCTGTATTTTCAGCGAGGCACAATAGTATTCAGTTCCAGCGTGTGGCAAGTTGATCTGCTCTATTTTTTAGTATGATCGCTGAACACTTCACTTTTAAATCCTGTAGGAATACAAATTATTTCAACCAATTTGGCAACTCAGTTAATTCTAATCAGTTCACTGTTGTAATTTTGAATGTCAGATATGGTTAGGACTATGCTCCCTAGAGTTCTTCCACCTTCATACAGGGGCACTGCGGTGCGATATATTTTTTTTATCACCGTTAGCATGCGGTGGTGCTACTCAGTAGTTGAAAATGGGCATGGTGGACACTCTCCTCAAATGAGCATGTCTCCAGTGGTAAGTGAAATTATATCGCTTTGATCCCATATTGGATTCGTGCATCTTTCTGAACTCTTAGCAGAGAGTGGAGAATGAAAACTGTTTGTTTTATGTCTGTTTATGTTTAGATTCTTACTCACTGCCATAGTTGCTCCAAAGTTGAAGTAGCAAGAGGCCTTCACCTGAATGACCACCTTTGTAATTAACGTCAGAATAATTTTGTAGGAGGTGCGAACTCCATTTCAAATTTGGACCCTTCCAAGTAGCAGTGGTCTTACCGCTGATGAGTTGCATTCTAAGGATCACTATGGTTTCTCGGGTATGTTTCTTAAAACCTTCTTCAGTATCATGTTTTTGCCCCACCAATTTTAGATCATATTGATTAATGTTGGTAGCATCAGTATTAGTTTTGATACTTGGTCTACGATATGCGTATCAGCATCTCATTATAGTTTGGTACGCAGATTCTGTAGAATCAGTATTTTTGTTCATCCGAAAGGAAAAGTACGTTCAAACATCTAACGTTTTCAGTACCTTGGAATCGAATTTGTCTTCAAACAGGCATTGTCCCTCCCTCAGCAATTAAGGTGGAAATTCAATGGAGAGAGAAAGATGAATATTCATATTGGGTATGCATTAAACTATTTTTCGAGCTTCACAAGTTGTTCACCTTTGCAGTGTTGTATCACAAGCGATTTTGATGAAATAACTGCAGCTGATTTATTCGCTGTGATCTGGCAGGCTCAAGCAGCAGATGCTTCATATTCGCTAGATGATGACAAAATTAGCAAGCGGTCTGAAAGCTCATCAAGTAGTCCTGTGAAAGGGAATATGGAACGTTCCTATGAGGATGGACTACTCAGTGCATCTCCTGTTATCACTCCAAGAGAACACAATGGGCCCAATGCATCCTTAAGAAAGGCACTCTCACATTCTGCACTACCAGCAGCCTACCTATCTGAAAGACAAGGTGACTAAGTTCAATAATTATCACTTGCATGTGTAGGCCTTCATGATGTGTGCAAACCCCTTCTTCTTTTCATGTATATTTTATCGGAAGGAATACAAGGGTAGTTTATGCTCTCAGCGATGAAGCTACCCCTCGAGTATCAAGCGACTTGAGATATACTTCTCAGTTAGCAGTTCCACTGAAACGATGTTTGTATTGGAGTAATTCTCACGGACTTATGTCATGTCTGTAAACCAGTTTCGGATTTTTGGTCAGACTTGAGGGATGCTTGATCTTGATCATTCATTCAAAAGAAGGTGATGTCTCAAGCTAACGCGCACACTCTTACTTTTGCAGATGCACAGGAGGTATTGTTGTCTAGTTCTTTCGATAAAAGGCTAGGAATTTGGGATGGTGCCTCGGAAGGCTCAGGTTCATTTGAAGCAGTAGCAAGGGGTAGAGACGGACTTTTATCTGGTTATGAAAACGGAAATGATCACGGATATGGTGGAGGAAGAGAGGACGAGAGAGGGCTTTCTCCACCGTCATCTCCTTCAAGTGAGTCTCTCTTAAGGTTCCTGCCAGTCTTCATTGAAGCGATTAAGTACAGAAACCATGTTTATCTCCCGACGACAACTTCATGTTAACAAATATCAAAGCATTTGTCAACATTTTCTACTGCTGTCCTGTCAGCGTGGAACGTGGACAGTGAGAGAGAGCATTTCTTCTGGACAAGGAGCTTCTTGTGGAAGCAACCTGAAACATTGTCGCAATGTGTTTTCAACTAGTTCTCCAGCTTTAACCTCAACAAACATGGTGGACCCTGTGGCTGTCATCTTTTTCCCTTCACCTTTTGATGACTAAATTATTATTGAGTCTTGAAGTCTGTCATTCGTCTGTTTGCTATAACTTGGCTACTGCTAGGGGTGTGTTTTAAAACTAAATAGTACAACACATATGTACTAAGGAATTTTTTTTTTGAGCGAGTGCCCATTGTTTCAGTCCGTGATTTTTGTTGTTCGTTCTCTACCTTTTTTCCGTCCAGCATCAATATAATATTTGAAAATATAACATTTGTGCTCATTTTTAGACTAGATATGTCCTTTCTTTAACAAAATTGACAAGGCAAGAACACACTACTTAATTTCACGTTGTGTGACTGGTTGTGTTTGCAGTGAAGTACCTGCGAGGAAAAACTTACAATATCAGAATCAATGATCAAGTTTTAGTTCGATTTGGACCAAGAAATCCTCATTCTACTTATTATTTTGGGGATACGGTACTTACGAATCTATGAGCATCTGACCAGACTAACCTGTGCCATTAATTATTGAAAATTGACTCAAGATTTATGCTTTTTTGTATTGGATGTCTTACTCATGACATGTACATCCATTGCCGTGTCCTGTTCGACGGGCCTTGATTTGGGCTTTCAGTTGCCGATCTGGCTTATTCTTGTTACATAAGTAGCATACCTTCAATTTCCTATGATTTCGTTGGCGAGTAATTTGATTTTCGTCTGGGGTTGTCATTAGGTTTCTGGAACACTCTCTTTCCTGCGTGAAGAAGGTGCAAGGCGTTGTTTGGAGGTTTGTTCAATCGAAACATAGATACCTTGTTCCAATTTTATGGTCCCATTCAAGAGAGCAATTGCAGCACAGTAAGAAGCGGTCGGTAGGCTGTGGCCGTAGAAGTTTGTCCTGACGAACTCATTGTTTTGGTAGGTCTCTGCTGTTCTGGAGACCCGAGAAATTCTAAATCCTTCGTATCTACATCCCTCTCGAAAAAACTCGTCAGTGATCAGTAAGGTGACATTTTCTCCATGAACTTGGTTGTGTGAGATACACGAGTGCTTTCCAGTCGTTGCATGTTTCGTACTTCATCGTGTTGTGGACGGGGAATCACTCATGTAATGTCTTCCTTGCCTGGATTGTGCAGGTTCAATCAGAGTATTTTGAGACAGTTTGTGACATGCTTAACTCGCATTTTATCTTTTCAGTCCCTTTGGACGGCCCTGCCTCATTTAGCACTCCCTTGATTTCCGTGCAATGGATCCTCCGCTTTGAGTTTGTGGCATCTCCTCCTAAAGTGGACTGGAGTAAATACGCACATCCTCTTTTGATAGAAGAAAGAGAACGAGGAGAATGGTCGTTGCCTATTGTAGTTCATGCCCCCTTGCCTCCTCGGGCAAAAAAAGATGCCCCTATGTCCCCAGAGAGGAAAGTACTGCCAGGGAGAGATGCAACCTCTTACACCTCTCCGACAACAAGGGAAGGCTCACCTGTAAGACTAAGAGACAGGGCTTCTTCCTCCAGCAGTTTCTAGGCTAATGGCAATCAGTCTTGTTTATTTCACATATGATTTTCTCATCCTGCGTCTCCTTTCTTCTTTGAGAACCCTAGTCTGGTGTGTCTATCAAGTTTTTACAGCAATGCCTAATTTCTGTGCTGTTTGAAGGGAGGGGGGACTTGGCTGAATTCCCCGCGGTCACTAGTTTACATTAAATTACCATTTGATGCTACGTCCGTTACTTTTAGTTGGAATAAACTTTAGCAGGACACGGCCATTTTTGCTTCTCTTAGTGTGACTCCTCTTCTAGCACAGATTGCGGTTGCATGAGATGACGAGCATATTGAGGAACATTTTTAGACACCATTCGGATGGGGGCAGTGCAGATTGGGGAGTCTTTCCTTTTCTTCAGTTATCGCAGTCCTTGCTAAACTCATTCTTGGTAATCAAACCTGAGAGTGACGATAGTCAAGACAGGTGAAAGGAACTTAAGTCTTTCTTTGTACTATAGGCTATGAGCATTGTCCTCATATGAGTTCTTAATTCAAATTCATGCTCACCGTGGATCTCTTTTTTAAGGTGTTCCATGAATATGAATCTCCACCCCTTGCCGGTATATTTCTTGGATATTGTTAGACTGGCTCTTGTGTTGGGCCGCCAGGCTTCCATGTCCTTGCCCATGCCAAAGGTTGCGACTGGTGGCCACAAGATGAGTTCTTCTGAAACGAGAAAATCAGCGTCAGATTTTAAGAAGCCGAGATAGTTCACGCAGCACCTGCTGATTACACTTTGATCAAGAACTTAGCTTAAGGGCTTGCATCTGAAACCGAATGGCTTCTCACTGAGGACAGTATGTAGTACACACCCTATTGTTAGCTTGTCATGAACAAATTTACAGGTTGAACTTTCCTCTCCATCATTTTTCACTTTTTCCTGTCACTGAAGCGAGGTTTTGTGGAAGTTCGGGCTGTCGTTTCACGGGTATACGTCTGTTGAGTTGGCTATCAGATTTGTTGTCTCTCACTGTCTACTTCTCACCATCTCTTGGGCTTGTAATCATCTCCATAAACAACCAAATTACGTTTGCGTAAGTAAGCGCCATCACTCGCAGAGTTTAATATTTCACTAATTTATGTAGGGAATCATGTATTAGAGCTTTCCTTATTTTTCTATTCATAATATAAATCACCTTCAGTAGCCGTGTAGAATATGGATTATGATCATAACCTGAGAGTGTATTGTAAGCACCAAGCACTGACTATCTGAAAGGCTTAGCCAGACAGTAGATACAAAAGTACTATCCGAGAATCGGGTGGAATGACGTATGTCGGAAGTTAAGTCCCAGCAGACGGAGTGCAAGAACCACAACTCCTGTGACTTGTTTCGGGTAAGGGATGAATGATTCCTCGGAACAGTGAGAAATAGGAACGTCTTCACACGACTAAATAACTAAAGTGTAAAGAAGTTGTAGAGTGATTCTGTTATCACACACAAAGGAATGCAATAAAGGAGAGCCCACCATGAACGTATGCTGTTGGTGCGGTTACTAAATTCATGTGCTAGGGTTAATACTTTCTAAATGAGTGAGTTTCAAAAGTCGTTCGTACCGTAATATACAAAGTTAGACTTTAGAAGTTTAGCGTTTTTGTTTGTGTGAACCTATTTGCTATTAATAGTTTTATGTTTCATTATCTGATTACTGCTAATCTATCAACATATATACCTTATTGATTGTTTTTCATCGATGCATGGCCGCCCTCTTGTTCTGGACATGTAGGTAGGGATCCTAAAATGAAATTGTGCACTTTGATCATATTCATTTTGACATTTGTATTACGTCATTTCATGTTACATCTAAGTTCTGGCTGCAGTAACGAGGGCTTACCAAGATATACAAACCTATGAAAATATTAGACAACATTCTCCTTGCAAGGATTTTCGAAGAATGTATATGCAGTTGTTTCAATCTTCTCGATTATTTGAGATAGATTCATGGAAGATTCGTGATAGATAACCATTCATGATCTTCTTTGCAAAACTTTGAATGTCATCGATAAACATTTCATACGATTTGTATTTCAAAGATCAAACGGCATTTTTTGTCTGCTTGATTTCATTGCAATTCTCATCAGTTACATAGCACCAACTCGTTCGATCATCTGCACTATGCATCCTCTAGTCCAAATAACAGGTGAAAGGAGATGTTTTGATAAAGAAATAGTATGATCTTTGTGGATGCATTGACTATAAGAAAATTAGAATAACTCAATCTCCTTATTCTTCTGAATCAAGAACTTTTAGCATGTCTTTAGTATTATTACATGAAGTATGGTTATGTTTCTCCATCCATGTAAAGTTTTGTATTTTCAGAGAGTTTAGCAAAAGAATGTTCAACAAATATGTTGCTTATATATTCTTTAAAGATAAGCAGTAGACCTGATCCACTTGGTTTGAAGTTTTTTTTGTTTGTTCATCGATATTTCTTTTCATTTCTTTGAATATAAGGAGTTGTAAACATGTCAAGTTTTATAATGGATACATAAAATTGTGAGATTATCTATGATGACATATAGTCATAGTATAAAGTCTAGTGGCAATCAAGATCATGTTTTATAAACTGTGCATCAAGTAGAGTTTCCCAACATGTTTGTATCTGTGAGGAGTTGATTTGGATGTTGGTTAACTCTGGCGAGCTAAATCATGGTTAGTTAAGTTAGTGACAGAATTAGCTCTAGCTAGCTTAATCTACTTAGTTTTTGTCACCATATAAGAAAGTTGCTAGTAGTTTACTATGTGTTCGAATTAGGACTTCCAGTATAGCAATATTGTATTATTGTGGATTGACTTCAAGAAGATAAACGACGTATCTTGGCTTTCTGCTGTGTTTGTCGTCTTTGTGGGCGTTCGCGTAAGGATCTACATTTTTTTTATCAAAACGTTCATGGTTAGCTACTCTATTACTCCTCACTTGAATGGGATTGTGCAAAGCTCTCTCCTATGTTTAATGTAGCATTAGGTTGAATCACATTGATTGTTCCACTCCTTTCAAAAGTTGATTCTCAATAGTATAAGCAAATCAAGTTCAGATGTTGGAATATGTATGAAATCTTGATAGGTGTAGGAAAATAATAGTTTACTGGTCAACGAATGAAGAATTATGGTACAAAGATATGTTCTAGGTTGTGAACATGAATATCATTCACTTTCTGCGATAGCAAAAGCAAATTTTTCCATCTACGTGTGAAAAAGTATCGAAAAGAACTCTTGATCTCTAACTTAAATCTCTCTTTACAATAGAGCTGATTAAAACTAAATGTTAGTCTAAACAAGATAGAGTAAAAGTATATGGAGATAAAAAAAAAATTTAGTAAATGTTGCTTGTGATATTCAGCAAAACCTACATAATAAAACAATGATTCTTTGGAAAATTTAAAAATCATCAAATCTCAAAATTTTTCAAAGTACTAATTTTTACGAGGGTTTCACCTCAATTAAATTCATTTTCAATCTTGGATATTTTTATCATACACTACATCTTTGATAAAATAATACTTGATATTGATATGTTTCACTTTGTTATACCTCACTTGATTTGCAATAAGATGAAACATATTTTGAATATAACAATGAAGATTGATAACCTTGTGTTTAAATTCTATCTTAGAGATAAGTCTAATCAAATAGCTTATTTTGCTGCTTCATTAATTTTTACTTATTCAGTGCAACGCTAAATCTCTCAAACTAGCAAACCAACAACACAATGAACACAGAGACACAAGTATAACGTGGTTCACCCTCAAGGGCTACGTCCACAGAGGAATACTCTCGAGAAAGTTTACTGCTTCAAGTGAATTATTCTTATCACTCTCAGGGTAGATATACCCAAGATAATCAACCACTCTAAGTTATAAATAGCTACATATGCGATATACCTTGGTTAACTAACCTCAGTTAACTTTTAACTGAGATTAACTCCTTAACCAGAGTTCACCTCAACAATCTCCCCCTTAACTCATGTCAAGGAGTCTCAGTAACCTCTCTAACCTATATTATTACTCAGCGGAAAGTTCTAGACGGAAACCTATCACAAGGTCACTCTTTAAACAAGAGTTAACTAAAACTAAGCCGTAGCCATAAGAGGATAGAGTAACAATATACAAAGGTAACTCAACAATCTCACCTTAACTCATGTCAAGGAATTTCAGTCAACTCTCTAACCTATATTATTATTCTTATACCAAGATAGAGTAATAATATACAGAGGTAACTCAACAATCTAACCTTAACTCATGTCTAAGACTTTCAGTCACCTCTAACCTATATTATTACTCTCATACCAAGATAGAGTAATAATATACAGAGGTAACTCAACAACCTCACCTTAACTCATGTTAAGGAATTATAGTCAACTCTCTAACCTATATTATTACTCCGCGGGAAATTCTAGACGAAAACTTATCACAAAGTCCCTCTTTAAACGAGAGTTAATTTAAACTATGTCGTAGCCATAAGAGGATAGAGTAACAATATACAGAGGTAACTAAGAACCATATCTCTTGTGCTCCCTATGCACAACTTGCATAGTAGCACAATGTCGCCTAAAACTCTCCAAAGGAATAACTTTGGTCAACGCATCAGCTGGATTGAGTTTACCATCAATCTTGACTAGCTCAATTGTTTTATCAGACACTGCTTGTCTAATAAAGTGATACCGGATGTCGATGTACTTTACTCTGCTATCCATGACTTGGTTCGCAGCCAAATGTAAAGCACTCTAGCTATCACAATGAAGATTGACCACGCCTTGTGTTAATCTCATCTCCATGATAAGCTTATCCAACCAAATAGCTTCCTTTGCCGCTTCTGCTGCTACCACGTACTCAGCTTCTGTTGTTGACTGAGCTACACACTTCTGCAAGGTAGATCTCCAACTAATGCTTCCACCACCAAGTGTAAACACATATCCACTTGTAGATCTACTCTTGTCTAAATCTTGTTCGTAATCAACATCAACGTAGCCAAACAAAGACTTGACATTGTCTAATAAGCCATCAAACAATAAGCCATAATCCATAGTATTCTTCAGATATTTCAGAATCCATTTCACTGCTTCCCAGTGAACTTTTCCTAGATTTGACATGTACCTGCTCACCTTCCCCGTTGCTAGAGCAATATCAGGCCTAGTGCACACAATTAAATACATGAGGCTACCTACAGCTTGTTCATATGGAACACATGACATTCTTCCCTTTTCCACAACATCTGTAGGACATTGAGCTGTAGAGTTTAAAATGTCCGGCATAGGAGTCCATACTCCTTTCGAATCGGCCATGTTGAACTTGTCAAGTATACGGCGAACATACTTGCCCTGACTCAACCATAGCTTCTTTTGTTCAAAATCGCTTTGAATATCCATGCCTAGTATACTTCCTGACTGCCCCATATTGTAACCATCTTTAGTTAGTTAGAACTAAAGTAGAGGTTACTCTGAATATTGATGTAGATACTTTAGTGTGCACTAGTCATGGCTGCCACGTCAGCGATCCGCGCACTTGGTAGGTACAGAGTGGATGTGTTAGTTGACAGTGCCACGTCAGCAATCCGTGTGCTTATAGGTAAAGATTGAGTGTGTTAGTTAGTGTGTTAGGTGGGTGCGCCACGTCAGCGATCCGTGTGCTTGTTAGGGTTATCCGCCGCGTCATACATCCACTAGGAGTGGGATGGATGGTGGGGATTAGATCTTATCACCTTGTACTTGTTGGTGAGAGCTATATAAGGGAGAGTAGAACCATTGTTGGTATCTCTCATCTTCAGAGTTTACGTTTCTATCTTCGAGTGAACTTCTCTCTAAACCCTAGTGTTACACATATCCTTCTTAAATGTAGACTTCAGCTGGCTCTTGCATTCATCGACATCAGATTGGTTTTTTGCCAAGATAAGCATGTCGTTTACGTAGAGTACTAAAATGATGAGATTGAAAGTCTCATCATCCACCTTCTTCATATAGACACAAGGATCATACACGCTTCGTAGATTACCTTGTGCCTTCATAAACTCATCAAAACATGTATTCCACTCCTTAGGAGCTTGTTTCAGTCC